ATATTGTTTTACACTTCTATGGTATAGCCATGAAACATTTCAAGTTTTTGTTGCTTGATTGTCAAATAGAAAATAGTTTAATGTGTCATTTAGACCTGCCTTGTGGTCCTTTAAATCATAGCTGTTAATTGCTATCAAAACAATCTCCCAAAAGCTAGGTTATTTATACCATGCTTTGTTTAACTTCAAAGATATGACCATTACAGGTGATTTATTTGATAATTAAGAATGCTCAATCATTTATATACATGTATTTCAGAGAAAAAATCTTTATTAAATCATTATTTTAAAATCTAAACATATATCTTTATAAATAAATTTAGTATATGAAATAGTATTTTATCATTCAAGTATTATTTATTTTATGAAAATTGTTAATAGATGTTTAGCTTACCTACAGATGAAATAATTTGAGAGTATTTTACATTTGATTCATTTACTCTTAGAAACTTGCTTATAATCAAATTTCATTTTATTTTGGTGATTGATTAAAATGTACATGTAGGTCTTGTGTTGATGAAACACAATGAGATCAAAGGCATCTGATGCTATTTAATTTAAATATAATCCTTACCTAAAATTTACATGTATTTGTTCTTCAAGATTTTTGAAAGTAAAACTAAAGTAATTGAAAAGTATTTAATTACATTCTTCAAAGTAATTGAGAGTAATAAATTACATTTGTAAAAATCAATGTATTTGTAATTGCAAGTAATTGACAAAATTATCGATATATTTGAAAGTAATTAATAACATTTCAAAGTAATTGAAGCCAACCCTACTATACATAAAGCTTAATTAAAAATCAAAGCCAAAATTGGGGGGGGGGGGTCAATTTGCTAGTGCATTTAACATGACCTATTTGCACTATTATTGCATCTTATATATAAATCATTTTTTCGAAGTTTTTCCTCTAACAATTCTTATTCAAATAAATCATGAGATTTACTTCTTTCTGCGCTACACTGCATTTAATATGGCCTTTTTGGACTATTATTGCATCTTGCATATAAATCATTTTTCCGAAGTTTTTCCTCCAACAATTCTTACTCAAATAAATTATGAGACCAAATACAAATCATGTTTTCTTTCCTTCTCATAATTATACAACTTTAAATAGAAATGATAAGCTGAGTTTGAAATCTAATAGGGACTATATTTTTGGCGGAGAGGCAGCGCATGGATATATATCTTAAAATTTTGGAAAAATCAAAACTATAAAGGAAATATATGAAGTGATTAAAATAAATAACTATGCAATACAGTTTAAAAATATATCAAATAAATGTGGTTTTCCAAGCAAACTACAACATTGTTAAATTTTGAAAGCTTCCAATCTAAGATCATATATGAGCAAAAAATCGGTATATTTTTTCTTTCGTATTAAACAGTCGAAACTTTTTATATCATTTTAATTCTTTTTATGAGTGAAAATAAAAAAAAAGTTAAATATACGAAGCATATAAAATAACTAATATTCCTACAAATTTAAGAAAAATATAGTAAATTAATTAGGGTTAACCAATATCTATTTTAAAAGTTTAATCATTTAATGTAGTTAAATGTGTTTACTTGTCATCAGCTAAAATCTATGTGGTATCTTGTATATAAAACATGTACATCTAGGAATACATTTTCAGGCATATGGCTCTTGGAATAATCGTATATCAAATATATATGAAAAGGCATTTAATTAAAAGATTGAATATACTTAGGTTATTGAAACATAGTATAGATAAAAATTCACAAAAAAAATATTTTGCTTTCATAAGACCCATTTTAGAATATGCAGACACTGTATGGGATAATTGTACCCAAAATAACGCAGAATTGCTTGAAAAAGTTCAGATAGAAGGTGCTAGAATTATTACTGGGCTTAGAGTTAATTCTTCCAAATCTTGTTTGTATCGTGAATTTGGATGGGAACCATTATATCTTAGAAGAGAAAAACATAAACTTCAATTGATGTATAAAATAATTAATGGATCTGCACCTGATTATTTGTATGAATTGATTCAACCTTTTTTTCCAGTTCAACATGCATGTAACCTAAGGTCTGGATATGATAATCTGCATATACCAATTTGTAAAACAATGTCTTACTATAAGAGTTTTATTCCTTCAACTATAAAACTTTGGAACAGTCTTAGTGAGGATATCAAAATATCTTCATCATTATCTATCTTTAAAGCAAAGCTTAAAAATTGGGGAGCAACTAACAAACCATGTAGGTACTTTAACTTTGGTAATAGAAATGAGAATATCTTACATTGTCAATTGCGAAACAATGCCAGCAATCTTAATGCCCATTTTAAAAAAAATCATTTTTTATCAGATGTTTAATCATGTGAAAAGTGTGGCTTTTATACTGAGGATACTGAACATTATCTTATCATATGTCCTCATGTAACTGTTGAAAGAAATTTACTGATAAAAAATTAAATGATGTTGTTTTTGATCTTGACACTTTGTTAAGAGGAAAATGTCAATATTCCTATCATAAGAAATGTGAAATTTTTTCATATGTACATGAATTTATTAAATCTACTAAGAGACTATAAACTAAGTATATTTTAATATTAAATACTATATTAAATGTACAGTTTTACAATACGTATGTTAAAGCTGGAACAGTAAGTAAATAATTTATACATAATCAGGGGGTCATCATCTGTTTTTTTTTAAACAATATTGAGGAATGATACTTGATTGTGAATCTTTATTTTTGACTATTAGTATTATTATCATGTACAAGTGTTATTATTTATTGTCTTTGACCTGACCTATTATACAAGGAGTAGGTATGTATAGGCTTTGCCTGTTTCCCGATCCTTATTGATTTATTATTATTCAATAAAAATATGTATAAATAAAATATACACTGATGCCATGGTTAGTAAAAAAACGATATTTTTGTGAAATTCATTCAACCGCTACTCCTCCTAGCGTTTTGGTTCGATTTCATTAACTTTGTGCCGGTCATTCGGATCTTTGTTCAATAAGTTTTAAAGCATATTTTTCATTATAATTCATTAAACAATAAAATGCTTTCTTTGCTTGTTAGTTCGGGAATTAATGTCGCAGCTGTTGCAGAAAAAAATCCATAACCCGTAAGCAGGTTATTTGAATTTTTTCTGCAATAGCTGCGATAGCTGCGACGTTAATTGCCGTACTTACAAACAAAGAAAGGCATTTTATTGTTTATATTTATATCTTTTTAAAAAAAAAAAAACATTCAAAGTAAATTGAATATGTTAAATATTGTATTATAAATGTGTTTGTCAGTGTATGTCATTGTATGCATAATTGATGGAACAGCCGTTACTTAAGAAATCTATGCAGGTGGCTTGCTAAGTGTTGTTTATGGACTGATTAACGGCAATGGTTTTTATAAGAAATAAAGGAAATTACATCCACATTCAGTGGATGTAAATATATCCTAATTAATCCAGTACTGTTTTAATATTCACAATCCATTCAACATTTTCCTGTACCATTTCTTCATAACACGTCTTAAGAATACAATTTTCTGTTGTTGTTTTTTTTTAGCTTTAGCCAATATTTCTTAATTTTTGTTTTTTGTTTTCCTTATAGGAGGGAATTCTACCTTGTTCAAGTTTAAGAAGCTTATTACAAGCATTCTTTTTTAACTCTTAAAGTTTTTTTACAGAACAGTGTATGATACTTTGAAAGCATACGAAAATGTACTACTGAAGTAAGTGTCTAAAACAGAGCAATTCGTTTGAATATTAAAATAGTAATCTTTAAGTTTGCTATGAACGCTAAGAGCTTTTCTCCCCTGTTCTGTCAGCTTCTGTTCTGCTTTAGTAAATTTACCATTGAAAATTAATAATAATCCAAGATAATTAAACTCATTTACTATTTCAAATTCATTTTTGTCGTAGAACCACCTCTTATTTTCTTTAATTTTCCTCCATTTCTAAAAACTATTATTATAATTTTATCTGTATTTACAGGTAGATTCCATTTTTTACAATAACTGTGCATAGAGTTAAGTATTTGTTGTAAAGATTCGGGTGTTTCTGCCTATATAACATTATCATCAGCATACATGTACATGATAAAGAATATATAAATAAACTAATTTCAATCGAAGGACAATTCTCGTTCATTAAATGCATTTCAAAATCGTTTACATAAAAAGAGTATAATATTGGTGATAAAATTTCACCTTGAAAGAGTCCAACTTGACTTCCCAAATACTTGGAAAGGACACCATCATATTTTACACACCACACGATTTGATATTTTTATAGAGTGATGAAACATGGAGATAACGAACAGTATTCAAACTCAAAGTCCATTAAAACAATACAAATGGGAGCAGAGCAAACATGGAATGTCAAAAACAGAGGTGAGATCAGGTGCCATGGAGGAGTAGCATCCCCTGCCGACTGGTCACACTCGCCGTGTGCTCCTTGTCATGATCGGTAAATAACGGTAAAATCCGTCGACAATTCAGTGTGTAAATAATAGCCCAATAATTAGTATGAAAAACGTCAGTCAACATATGACTTAATGATAGATTGTATTTACTGACAAGGTCATTGTCGATATGACGGCTTTAAACGAGACTGTTGATATTCTTGTTTCATCAACTTGTTTGTCAATAACTTGCCTCGTTTTAGAAATTGTTCATACATAGACCATGCTCTTGCGTATCGAATTAACTGAGAGATATATACCCCTAATGCAGGTGATAAGGGTATATTGCTGCATAAGTAAGGGAAGCTGACGATTGAAAAGTAAAAGTCATCACGTTTATCATAAAGTTTTGTTGTTAGATTACCATTAACGTCTTTTTCTAGTAAAATATCCAGATATGAAACAGATGTGTCAGACTCTGTGGAATCTTTTACTTATATCATGTCGACATATGAATGGAAATAACTATTGTTAATTGATAAAACGTCGTCGATATGTCTAAATGTCGAGTTGAAGGCCAAAGCAATAGATTTTAATTATCTTCAACAATTTACCCTGTATTCCGTCAACCGGTAACAAACGCAGTGTGCTCATTGTCATAATCGGGCAAACGGAAAAATCTGAAGACAATTCAGTGTTTAAATAATGGCCTTACAAATAGTATGAAAAATGTCAGTCAGCATTCGACTTAATGATAGATTGTTTTTGCTGACAAGGTCATCGTATCGAGCATAGAACTCGCGAAATGATGACATTAAACGAGACTATTGATATCCTTGTTTTATCAACTATTTTGTCAATAGCTTGCTTTGTTTGAGAAAACGTCATCGATATATCAGAATTTCGAGTTGAAGGCCACAGCAAGGATTTTCTTCCTATCATGTAGAAGTTTAACAATAAAACCTGCTTCATAGGAATATTGAAACAGGTCGGCTAATAAAGCAGCACAAAGAGTACTCCTCGAAATTCCAACTATTTGTTAGAAGACCTGTATATTTTACAACAACTCTCAAACTAACATAACTGCCCTCAGTGAAGAAATATTAATATAGAAAGCACAAAGAAATTCAACTCTTTTTTTCAGGATACCACTTCCGCCCCAGCCCGGGTTTGATCTCTCGACCTACGAAATCTGTCTTCTAGCAGTACAGGATCAGCGCTCGGCCATCTAGGCAAGTCAAAAAAGCTTGCTTTTCATGCCGATGGAATTCTCGCGGCGGCGCCCTACACTACACGGTCATCGAAAATGGAAGTGAGAAACAGTTATTTGGACATTTGTATTGAATTAAATCTTTATTTATAAAGGACATTATTAATTATTAATCTCAATTTCAAAATTTCGAATTTTGTGTCATAATCTAAGTGTATTTTTTTTGTATTGTGGATCTTTGCTCCATGTTTCTGCTTACCGAAATATTTTTTTTAATAAAAAAAACCATATAACCTAACAACATACATATTGCACAAAAATTAAAATTTAACTTCACAGTAAATAATTCTTCTATTATGACCATATCAGAAAATATGTTTCTGTAAAAAAAAATGTATTTATATGATAATTATCATATTAATCAAATCTATTACAGATTCTATTACTAGTGTCATTCCGAAATATTAATATTTTTACGCAAACTTTGAGAATAATCATTTAAAAGAAAATAGATCGAAAGTCCACTTTTGTGATAAAGTATAGAAAACATTTTTGACTTCTTTGGTGTGTATAAGCTATATTTCAGAGACGAATAATTTCATTCTTTGTGAGATTGTTGCAAATTGTGGAAAATTAATGCTGAATGAAATATCAAAGAAAATTTTGTCACAATTGAGATTAATTTTCACTTTCTTGTTTGTCATTAAATAGGCACTTTGCTCGCCTTATTCGTGCGTAATCCGCAACTGCTTTTCTTGTTTGTATGGAAAAAAATACGAAAATTCAATGTTGAAATCTAATTCAAAAGAGATCTTTTTCTATGATATCGTAAATAAAATGTGGGAGTGCTACTTCTCTTTAATCAAATTTGTTATAAGCGCCCAATAATGAATTCTTTCGAAACACCGTACATAGCTCTGCCCATCACCACCATTACTCAGTTCTGAGTCAATAGCCAAATCGTATTGTATTTGAATTTTCAAATGTATATAATATAAATGATAATTAACATTTATTGCCGAATAACACAAGTGAAATGACCATGAAGTTTATTTATTCAGACCTCCTTGTCCATTTATTATTCATTGTTCATCAATCACTTGGAAACTAGGTTACTCGCTCCTTTTCAGATATGTTGAATTCCACACTAATTCCTATATATATGTGTGTGTAAACGAAAATTGGTTTTATTTATCAGAATTTGATATTTTGCAAAAGATTTACCAATATGATTTTCCAGAACTGGGTACTAATGGTCTGTTTTCTGTTCTTAGCCGTATCACATGCACGTAGGTGTTGTTTTCTTTATTTTTGGATTTTTTTAAAAAATATAAATTACTTTTATTTTTCTTTCAAGTTTTCCTTTTTATATAATTGATTTTATACTTTATGATTTGAAACTTTTATATGATATTAATTATAATTTTTAATTTGAAACTTACAGATAATGGGATAAAAAATATAAATATGTACCTTACATATTGAGAGTTAATTCTATTTTCACTTTTCTTGCGATAAAATAATTTTTTTCTTTTATTATTCGTTTAGATTTAGTCAAATCTTTTCATTTTATTGAAGAGAGAGACAAGTAATAAAAGTGTGTGTGTGAGGGTGGAAGATTTTTTCTTTAATTTTTTCTGTCTTGCTGTCATTCTGTCTGTAAGTCTGTTCCACTTGGTTTTCCGCACTTTGTTTTACACGCTTGCAGATGTGAAGCTGATTTCTGTTCTGTTAGTCTACCTTGATGAGTTACAGATCAAGTTGCATTTCGTTCAGCTTCGATGACTTTGAGGGAATTACAGGCATTTTAATTCTTATGGGGGACCAGGTTACACTTGCCAATAAGGGTTTGGTATTAATTATGAAATACTCTCAGATTGTTTATTTTATTATTCTGTTAAAACGGAATTCTTACTTCATTTCACGAATTAAAGTCAACAAAATCTTCAAATCTAATATTTTATGCCTTCATTTGAAATTCTCATCAAATTCAAGTAACATGTGGTATATATTGTGCTGATAATTACAAGTGACACAGGTTCATTTTTGGGTTTACAAGAATTTCATCAGAAGTTAGCGTCAAACCTAACATTCCAGGCCCATCGGGAGGTTTCTGGAAAAGGGTTGCAGGGAGGGTCTGGAAGGGGTGTACCCTAACAGAAGCAAGTTTTATTTAATTGGTATTATTTTGGGTGGTTAATGTGCATTCCTAAAGTCATTTTCAAGCAATAAATTGTTTGATTGTTCTGGTTTTACGTCATATGCAAGATTATTTCACTGTGCATATGAGACAAAGTCATCATATACAGATGAAGGACTTTACTCGGGAATCAGGGTCATTTCATTATTTTGTTTAATAAAAGAGGGTATGATCGTTATCCCTCCCCACCCCCTTTAAGGCAATATATATATATATATATATATATATATATATATATATATATATATATATATATATATATATATATATATATATATATATATATATATATATATATCGCCGTAATATATATATTATTTGTATTTGTCTATATATTATATATGTATGATTTGTGTTTGCTCTGCATACATCTAATTGTTAGCATTTGTGAATAAAATAAAGCACACAAGATGAACACAGAGCTAGATTAGCCTTGTATTTCTAAATTATTTAATTGTAGAAAGACTCAGTGCACCTACTGACTTTGCACCTCCACGACGGCGCTCAGTGTACCCATGTCCTAGATTTTACTGTGTAAGTACATACATGTATATTGTGTTATTCTAAAAAAGAAGGAGCTATAAAAGTGGAACTTCTAGGTGAGTTAAAGATAGTAATTGTAAATGAGGTATTGTATCAGTAATTAATTATTATGTATAAACTCTCGCGTGAGTTTGATTACTGGGTTTCATAACTTAACCACCTATTTATCTCGCATCATGTTTCAAAACTTTTTTATTATTTAGACTGTTTGCATGACAGCTGATTTTCTCCTCTTGTGCCCCTATCCGTCAAAATAACTAGTTTTTCACAACTCCGTGTATATTATGCACTCGTAAATCATCATGTTTACGATTAACGCGAACTGCTTAGTGCGCATGTGCATAATCAGGAATCGTATTTATCATGCAACCACAGTAATTCCAATTTCTTTTTCTACGGAAAGGTATGGGTGCCACGAAATACTTTTTTTAAATCAAAATTCCAACTTTAAAGTTGGTAATTCCAACTTCAAACTTTAAAGTTGGAAATTCGAAGTTGAATCTTGGCTTTTCCAACTTTAAAGTTGGCTTTTTCAACTTTAATCTTAGCTTTTCCAACTTTAATCTTAGCTTTTCCAACTTTCTCGGGCATCATGCATTTTATTCGTATACTATATAGTTACATGTAATTGGACTCGAGTTGCTGTTTGAAATAACAATGGAAATAAACAACTTATTTATATAAATATGAAAGTGTCTCGCGGTGGTCTGGATTTATTTCATATTTATTAGTTTCAACATCAAAATTCAAAATGAAAAAGTTTAAATAATTAGGGTAAAGTGGCGTAGTTTTAGTTCTAGATATTTTTGCTTTTATTTGTATTGTTCTTTCATGACTTTTTAACCTTTTCTATGTCCTGAGGAAGGGACAAAGCGTCCCGAAAAGTTAAGAAGTCATAAAAGCAAGGAAATATAGAAACCAAAAAAAAAAAAAAAAAAAAAAAAAAAAAAAAATGCACTACAACTAAACTACCAAACACTATGTATTTACAATTTTACAAGTTTTATTAAAAGGGGTTGGGACACAGATTTGAAGCTCTGATTTTCTAAAATTTTCTAGATAATATCATGACCTGTATGTTGCTAGAGCATTTCACACCGAGATGTAATAAATGTGTGTGTAGGAAATTCTTTTATCTGGAAAATATTTAAACTACGATTTTTGGGACGCGTTTGATTGACCATATCCTTGCACTTTCACCAAGTAAACTGTATGCATAATACTTAAGAAAAGTAGAAATTATGTTGTGAGTTTATGAAAAATATGAAAACTATAATCCAGAAAGTTTAGAGTAGAAATGAGAGAAAGCAAAACTAACTCGCCAGTATTGTCACTCCGTACTCAGTGAAAATAGGCGTTGGCACGATTAAGAACCCCTCACTGCTTAATGGTCCTGAGTGCCAAGTATAGATCTAAATTTGAAGCCCTTCACCAGCATACGGTGACGTCTCCAAATTCTTCGAATGGGACTTAAACAACACACAATCAATCAATAATATCTTAGTTTTTTTAACCAAAAAACTAAACAAAAAATAAGAGGGAAAAGAAAGGGAAAAAAAGGAGGTTAAAAAAACAAAAACGTTCAGCCACGTGTCTTTTGAAAAAATAAGGAACTAGAGTAGAGATAAAAACAGTTACTGTAACTAACTTGCACGAGTTATCGAACCTATATTTCCAGAATAAATTCGATAATGATTAGAACTTTTTCATACAACATTTAAAAGCGTGTTCGTTCAAGAAAATTTTTTTTTTGGTAGTTGGATGTCAAACTATTTCATGACTCCTTTGTTCAATATGCTCTTTTAATACATGGTATCTCAATATTCGAAACTAAAAAAACCCAACTTATTATTAACGTACATTACCTTCAATTTTAAAACTTCAATCACAGTTAAAAATATGCAGAAGTATACCAGTTTAATAATTGGCTCCAAAAAAGGACAAATAATTTCTAGCATACTGTAAACAACATTGTTATTATTATTATTATTATTATCATTGTATCTGTATATACATGTATATATCTTCTGACATGTTTACATCAAGATCATTTGATGACGAAGTCTAATAAATTAATTTTATATTCGAAGATGTCTACTAAACATATTTATGACTCTCATCGTGTTTTATAGACCTGGGATAACCCTTCTTGTAATGTTAGCCCTGGTCGTTTTATGCCTTGTGTTTCCAGAAGCTATCCAGTAACAGTACAGTCATGTGACTGTCAGTTGTGTGAGTTTTCCCCTTTATTTCTTTTCTTCATAATAAATAAAAATTAAATCACACTGTGTCTGATGAAAAACAAAAGTATATTTCATAAACCTAAAGTAAAATGATTTGTCTTTCTTTTTTCTGTAATTTAGGAGAAAAAAAATCAAATTTTTATTTAGTTGAAACTGTCGATCATGTTTGATACCATTTGTACCTGACATCTTTCTTTTAGATTTTGTTTTTGTCAATTATAGGAAGGATTGTGGATCAGTTGTTAGTTTTTCGTTTAAACTTAAGTAAACTTGACGAATAATTTGAGGACTTCATGAAAAATATATCCTGAAATGTCTTTTTAGCATGATAATGATATTTTTACTCATTACGTTTGTTTATCATGGAAATGTTTCTTTTAACAGGGCTCTCATCCAGAGGTTAAAGTAATGCTAGTATCCGCCTTATACAGAAAATATATCGGAATCTTAAGAAGCTATGATTAGAAAATCATCATCATCATCATAGAGGTCGTTGTTTGGATGATTTCCTGTATATGAAGATTCCCTAATAAGCACTTGCGCATGCGCTTTGCGCTTATTAAAATAACATTTTTGCATTTCTTGACATTTTTTAGCTTTGTAACTTGTAAGCCATTAAAATTCCCTTTAGAAATTATATTGTAACTTAAGAACATGCTTTGAATTCTATTTGATTTTGTTGTTCTTTGTTCAACACATATGCAGATTGAATTTTCCTTATTTCTAGCATTCTCGATTGTAAAGACATCAAGCGTTCATAATCAATCTATTATTTATCATAAACCACAATTGCAAGGAATATCAATAGAGTAGAGACATCCAGTATATTATGAAAATGAACTTCTTCCTTTTTCAGCTTATGGCTGCATGCATTTGAATTTTGAATTTTTGAAACAAGTTCTTAAAAAAATTGTTCCATCAACCTAAGTTATTTGGTAATATTTCAATGTCATTAAAATTTCATATTTATTACCTTCGGAGGAAAGATTTTAACTAAGACATGAACAATGTTTGGTGTTTTAAGGTTCCACCAGAGGCAAAGTTGTGTAGAGGCCGTTTTAACAGTGTCTATTCTTTTAATGTTCCTAATTGCTGTGGCCTGAGAGTAACAACCCAACAAACCATAGTTATGAAGTTTACCAAAAAAGTTCGACGTAAATGTTCGTCAGCTTCATATTGAAACTGGTTTTTTATTCTTGAGAGTTTCCTCTAGTGTACTTGCACAAACGGTTATCTTCAAAAGCGGCGGCGTAAATCGAAGGTTTTTTCAACGCTTGGATTTGCAGCTAATTAATAAACAAAATCACAAACCTCGTATATATATATATATATATATATATATATATATATATATATATATATATATATATATATATCACACCGCCGAAACACTAGATTAGCGTCAAGTCAAGTAATCTGAGGTAAGTGGCTGATGGGAGCCACTTTCTTTGAAACTGAAACACAATAAGAATCTGAGTGATGTCCTCTTAACTAATTTAATAATCTGTATAACAGATGTGCAAATAGGCTCCTGATGATGGCGGATTTGCAGCCAATTAATCAACTATCAAAATCATAAACCTCGTATATATCACACCGCCGAAACACTATATAAGTGTTGAGTTAAGTGATTTGAGGTATGTGGCTGATGAGAGCCACTTTCTTTGAAACTGATATGAGGGACAATGTCCCAATGGCTCTAATTCCCAAGAATCGCCGACCTTGTCTGCGATCCGTACTTCCTGTCATTTGATCTCACTGATTCTTTTGTTTCGGTGTTCTCATACTATTAATCCTGAGGTCTATAGTGCGAGCGATCGCGAACATTTCTGTTGGAGGTATAAGGAATTTTGGCGAGCGCTCGCGAACGTTAAACGTTCGCTCTGTTGAACAGGCCTCTGGATTTATACCATGTATAAATCTTAAATGGTTTGCATGAAGCAAAATGCACAATTGGCATTTAAATAAGGCATACCAGTCTAACCCTGTACCCACGCATAAAAAGGACGGAAATTCCGTTTTATAAGAATGTAGCAAACCCAAAACGAATCTGGAGTTGTGATTGGGTGACTGCATTAACCAGTTTATATTTATAAAATGAGTGTTCTTGGATTATATTTTGATTGGGATTAATTAAACAGGTAGATATGCAATGCTTGTATTTTATCACTCGTTACCTAAGTTCCAGTCACTCTGTTTTGTCATGTACGAATGGAGATCTGAATCACGTGACTCTCCACGCTGATTCTATATGCATTCACAACAGAATGAAACGTTGTTACGATCGGAACACTATATTAAAGTTCAAATTGCGTAAGGCTTATAAATGATAAAGCCAGTTAACAAAGAGAGCATAAAACAATAGTTCTCTTAGCTCATGAGCATGTATCTCAACTCACATCGGACAAATTGTCTGATGATGAATAATTATTGTTGACGAGAGGGCCCTCACCAAAGTCACAACATGCAAGAAATATACTGGTTTTTCAATGAGCTTGCTGAAAAGTTGAAAACTGATACATGTTCCATGATCCTAATGAGAAATGCCTCCTTTACGCGTAAAAACGGCTTAATTTGAACCAGAATTATAATAACTCCATCTTAGGTATTTTGACAAAACAAACCTTGAATTGTCACCAATGGAAGTCGGAAAGACTTTTGACAATTTAGATTAGCTTGAACAAAAAGCATTGAAGGAACTTGATCAAACACAATGGCTTCATTAACAACAAAGCTGACTAAATTATGTCGCTATGGTCATGCTTTAATCGAATACACTAAAGAAAACCGTATAAACGGCAATTAAATTCAAAATATTACTGCTGAATTTAGTATCCCAATTTAAAACATCCTGAAGAACGCATTACTGAATAAATACAAAGGTTGTCCTTGATGACATTATTTATAGCTTTCTGTACATGGCAGATAACACGAGGACGGAGAGATTATATCTACTCCATAAAATATACAAGTTTGAAACTGAAATTGAAATTGTTATTCAACTACAAGTAATAGATGCTTCAAAATACCATGATTTCTCAAGGAAGGTCTATTACATTTCAAAAAAGGCACTTACTGAAAAATGAAGTCAACTGTACTGACCTCATTTTTTAATCATTTATCGTGCATACATAACTTGAGCATAAACTTTACGGATAGCTCAGACTTCATATTGAAGAGCGAACTTCTGCGACCACATAGTGAATACTTGCGGGTCAGCTATGATGTAACATCACTTTACACAAATACGCAATTGGAAGAGCTAATGGCTGCTTTTGATACGGCTTACAGAGAAATTTACGATAGCATTTTCTCAATCTAAGCCCCGTCTGCAGCAGACCTAAGTTATTTACTCAGATTTATCCCAGAAAGTAATATATTTGAATTCAATGCACATATTTACAAACAAATCATTGAATATGCGATGGGTTCAAAGTCAGGACCTCATTCTGTATGCGATATTCGCTTACATAAAGTCATCAATGAAATTTGAAACAAGTTTATTAAATGTGCGATGAGGTATAAGAAATTATTGAAATACCGGCACATTCTAAAAAATAAAAAGATTGGAATACAATCCTCCCCGAATAACCTACTGTGTCATTAAACACAATAAGAATCTGAGTGATGTCCTCTTAACTAATTTAATAATCTGTATAACAGATGTGCAAATAGGCTCCTGATGATGGCGGATTTGCAGCTAATTAATAAACTATCAAACTCATAAACCTCGTATATATCATACCGCTGAAACACTAGATTAGTGTCGAGTCAAGTGATTTGAGGTACGTGGCTGATGGGTGCCACTTTCTTTGAAAAAAAATATACCATTAAAGTCTTTTTTATTAAAATATCCAAATTTGAAACAGATGTGTCAGACTCTGTGGTGTCTTTTATTTCAAGCTCACTGGGATATATCGAATCGACATATGAATGGAGGTAACTATTGTTAATTGATAATACGTCGTCGATATTTCTAAAAGCCGATTTGAAGGCTACAGTGTTTTCTTCTTCTCATGTTGAAATTGTTGAATAAATTATAAATTCTGCTTCATATGAATACAAAAATAGGTTTGCTAATAAAGGGGCCCAATAGATACCTATGGGAATTTCATCAGATTGCTGGAAGATCTGATTTCCAAAAACTACATAGATATTGTCAATCATAAATTCAAGCATCTTTTTAATATCAACTTCAGAGTACTTGTGTGTACAATCAGAATCTTTTTAAACAAAATTATTTTGCAAATGACAAGGTAGTATATGTACGAGTTCCATTTTTATTGAAAAAGCAGCTGCTTGCGATGTCAAAAAGCTTGGACTATAATTCAACGTGGAGAATGATTGTATTAAAGTGTTGGAACGTCGTACGTTTCAATGTTATTGATTTTTGTAAAATTTTGTGATTTCAAATTTTCTAAAAGTTCCTTGGACTTTTTAAGTATCCAATCTGATTTACACCACTTCTCGAAGATACATGTACTGTTGTACAGTACTCCTAAAGTTTCTCCTTCACTGCTGTAAATATTTTAGTGAGGAATATAAATAAAGTGAATTGGTAGAACTTTAACTGGAACCGCTATGTATATCTTTGTTTGTAAGGATTTTTATGGAGTTTTGGAATCAAGTATAGGTATTGTATGTCAAATTCATTTTGATTGTGGGGAATATTAAAAATATTTTAAACTGACATACGGTTTTTTTTTTAGAATTTCCTCCTTAGAAAGGGAGCTTCGGTTATAAGTTGGATTACCACCTGCAGAATGAAATTTTAGTTCCTCTAAAATACAATTCAAATAATAAGCCTTACAAACAAAGACAATGTTGTTACCTGCTTTTTCAGCGGGGACCAGTACATAATGATCGTGCATTCTATCTAATTCATGTTTCACTTCTGCATTGTCGAAGACAGAAGGATAGTTGATTTTCATATTGCCCTTCAATCGCTTAATGCGAGATTTCATCATCTATCTGATACTTTTAATCCATTCTCACAAAATGTCAAGGTCTTTTTCATATTTGGCCCATCGTCTGGCGAAATCGTCCACAGAATTCATAATATTTTTGAAATTGTGACACCAATTGAAAGATGGCGGTTCCTTAAATGTTGTCCCTTTTATAATAAGTGCTTTAAGGTCCCCATTATTAACTATATTAACGTCACCAGTAATGAGGTGTCCAGCAGGACTATAGTTGTAGGGAAGAACATGAACACGTTGGAGGAATATGTTGAGATGCTCGATATCTAGGCACTGTAGAGTTTTTTTTTTTTTGGTTAAAAAGTTGTTGATGAATATTTGTAAGAAATACAAGGTGTGGACTTCAACTTGAAATATGGTGGAATACAAGACTGGACTCTTTTTATGATTAAGAATGTTACTTATATTCAAAATTGGTAACGTATATAATTTACATTATGGCTCCTTGATCTAGGCCTCTGCTGGAGGACTGTTTGTCCCCAAGGGTCTCTACAGCCCAGTAGCTAAGTACTTCGGTACTAGCTTGAAAATACGAATACATATTCAATTGCTGTGGTAAAGGTTAAAAATTTATTTCAAAATTAAGGATTATCTTCCTCATGCATAGCTCTGATCCTTCGGCGTATTTGCTCCAGTCTTTGGCACCCCTTTTTCAGCTCTTCAAAGTTTTTAAATTAGATATTCCGGATTGTCTGAAGAGACATAATTGTCGAAATGCGCATCTAGTTCATCAAAATTTGTACCGTATATTATTTACATTAACTGCTCAATCCCTTTGCTGGCATATTGATGTTAAAGAAGCAAAAGGGTTCTTTCTGCGAAACGTGGCGGTTAAAAGAACCTATGATTTGCAATATCCATAATCACAGATCCGAGCCTTATTTTGGTGTCGAAAAATCCAAATTTGGACTTTCCTTGCCTTATACAAATAGACTATTCAAAACGTTCAAAGGGACAGAGTAAAGTTTGGTGCGAATGTGATGAAGGTGTAACTTGTTTATTTACATGAGGCTATAAGTGAAAAATTCTCGAGAGGGACTTTAAACAACAAACAAACAAACATAAGATTGTAGTGAATCAAGGTAGGAGACATTATAAATTATATAAAAGGTTTATTGTAAGACCGATGTCCATGACTACGCTTACATCTCTGTGTATTGTTAAAAGTCTCATCATATTCACATTGCTAAACTATGGGATTGAAAGATTCCCAACACTATCAACATTGTCATTGCTGCCATTTGGAAAGGTCGTGCCTAGTTTTCAAATCCAGTATTCTTCTTGTTGTCTACGGAAAGGTATACTCAGTAATGGGCTATTAGTATGATGGTAAATCTTTTCTAGAATTCTAATTTTGGTTGGCAAAATAGAATGATCAGGTAAAATTAGAATGCTTGTATAGAAGCTGCTGTTAATTTGAAATATATGTCCCAATATTCTTTTATTAAGTGAACCCTTTAAGGATCCTCTATACACCAGAGGAAAATATTTTTGGGAAACTGAGAAAATTATAGTGTGTTAAGGTTTAAATGTTGAGCTTATCTATCACATTTTCAACATAGGGGAACCTTGCATTTACCCCCAGGAAAAATGTTCAAAGACAATGAAGTACTGATGAACAGAAATCATTGTTGTTTACTTAAGTCGGCAAAATACCTGCAAATGAAGTGTTCAATCTATTCATCTTGGCCTATTAAAATGTTATAAATGCTTGATTTGATCACAAATTAAGTAATAAACTGTACATTTAAATTTATTTTATTCTTAATCAAAGGGCAGATAACTCTATCTGCATAGAAATACCACAAAATCAGAACTCTTTAGTGTGCAGTGTATAGAGGGCTCTTTAATAAGCCTACAAATTGTACATGCTATTCCGTGGACAACATAAGAAGATTTGAAGTTCAGATTTTCCCAATTTTCGATATAGAAACTATGTCCAGTAAGATTACTAGTAAACGCAGAGCTTGTAGTCAAAACATCACAGGTTTTATAGTTTTTACAGTATGTTGAACACATGAGATCGGAAAAGGAATCTTCAAGTATATCTCTTATAGAAACCTTATACCTTCCTTAAATATAAATAGTATGAACTGTTGGTTTTATACGAAAACTAGAAATCTGAAGATAGTACATATGAGATAAGAATCCTTCTTACAATCAAACTCCCTAAACACGCGTACTATAGTAATGTTTACATTACATTCCTCCAAGGCACCTGATTCCACCTCTGGAATTTCTGGGAGTCCATGTTTTATGCCTTGTTCACAGATCTGAATTGTTTGTAAATTTTTTGAGATCAATCACTATTCCTAATCCTCAGTTTTCATTACTGTACATATAACTATCTTATCAATAGTCATAGATATTTCAGGAAAATTAATTTCTCAAACTTACTGTATGGACTGGATTTACTTCAAATAACTTCAAAAATGAAGTTACAATAATCATTCGATTATAGTAACTTATAAAAAATAGATTTTATTTTACCAAAAATTTGATTCTGGTTGCAACAAACCTTTTGATTGGATAAAAAAACCTATTAATATTGATTAGACTGTGTTGTCTACGTCACAATGACTTGCGTCAAAAACGTATTGATCTGCCTGACATTAGATTTATTTGGTACAATCTAAAGTCATTTTAAGGGCATTCGTCTTATTTTCTGTAACACTAAATGAATTAGATAATAAGGTATAGTGCCCAATTTATACGGTACGGGGCAGTTTACACTAAATGATTTATTTAATAATTTTTATCGTAAAACAACTCATTGTCAATTTTGGCAATTTTTTTTATCAGAGGCTTTTTGCCTTATCCTTAAGGTAGTCCGATCCTCATGTTCCTAAAATAAATAGTTACGTAATTGAAAACGCTCACTTAACGTCTCTGAATTCGCACAGTTATGTGTATTTACCCCGTGATTCTTCTTCAAAGCTCATTATTATAGTTAATCATATTATATATTGGGAAAATTATCAAATCTCAAATTTATTCTCAGGAATCGCGAATGAAAGCACCAGCTATGCATTTTCTAATTATAAATTAATCAACAAATATATTTTTAATTAAAAAATTATAGGTATCCAGGCATTCGGGGAAAACTGCATGATTTTAATACGTTATAGAGTATTTTAGTTCTTTTAATTTCTCCAATTATTACATAACACTCAGTGTAAAAAGTTTGTGCTATCATTAGTGGACATCACAGATCACTTCTAATTTCATGTCATGACTAATAAGCATTGGTATTTAAGGATAGTTTAAAAGAAATAAGACTTCTCTAAAGGTGTACTTGTACTTCTATGGGGTACAAATGCCAGCTTTTTACGATTCAGTTACTACAACTTCATTGAACCTTGAATCATATTGAGATGAATGAAATTAAAATTGTTACATGAAAAGATTTGATTTTCAAGCTTAATTTTGACCCTTTTATAATTAAATGATAATTTGAAGAGTTATCCTTCCTGGCTGAGGAGTTGTTATCCCAAAGAGAAAGAGTAGTTTTTAAAAATATATTACAGATCGAGGATTCACCTAGAATTTTCTAATAACATACAATTATGAATACTAATTTTTTTTTTTTTCGAAACACCGTATGTGGCGCTATCCATCATCAGAATTTCGCAGTTCAGATTAAATTGCTAAAACTTAATACGTTTAAATATTCAAACCTTAAAAAATAAATAATAAACGATAAAATAAACGGTTTTAATACAATTTTCAATTAATATGAAAATGTACAATACTCAAGTATGATTGATCATTTAAAATGAAATGACCTCATAAATGTAGTTGTTTTTCCTTCTTGTCTATTTAATATTCATTATTTATCAATCACTCGGAAAACTGGGTCAGTAGTGCGTTTTCAGATATGTAGAATTTCCCAATGGTTCCTATATAAAATGCGAATAATAAAAATACTTTTTATTCATCAAAATAGATATTTTGGCAAGGATTCAGCAACATGAACCACCAAAACTGGATATTTTTTGCTTTTTTGTTGTTCTTTGATGTATTAGATGCACGCAAGTATTGTTTTCTTATATTTACATGTCTCTGAAGACTTTATACAATGATTAAAATTCCGTCTCAAAGTTTTTCAAAGAATTTGAAATGAAATTTTTAGAGAGTGATTTATTTCTTTTTTCCTTGTAGAAAAAATATTTTTGACTTTTTGTCAGATACATGTATTCTATTTAGATGTAATCCAATCATTTTTATTCTTTTCTTAAAAAAAAATTTGATAGATATAGAGTGTTTGTGGTGTCGATGGGTATTTGTTTTGGCTGTTTTATATATATATATATATATATATATATATATATATATATATATATATATATATATATATATATATATATATATATATATATATATATATATATATATATATATATATATATATATATATATATATATATATATATATTATTATTATTATTATTATTATTATTATTATTATATTATTTTAATTATTATTATCCTGTTAACATGTCGTCAAACTTCGTATACTACTTTTAACTGCCTTACAATCGAGAAAATCGTCAAATTTTAATTTTTACTTTAACGTATTGGTTTAGAATTCTCATGTTATTTATGATATATCTTGCTGTTAACTACAATCGATGCAAGGCTGTACGAGATCTGTGATCCATAAGAGATTTCCTATAATTGTAGAAAGACTTGAAATACCCAGCCGGTATGCACCTCCACGACGGCGCTTCCCGCAAGCATGTCCTCGGATTTATTGTGTAAGTATTGCTTTGAAAAAATATTCATTCATTTCGTTTTAAAGAATATTCTTATATTTCTCATTTTCTTATTTTTAAAAAAAGAAGGAAGAAGGGTTTGTAAATTTAGGTCTTTTACTACATGTATTTATTTTGCAATTTATTTCAAGATGGAACTATATTACAAAACTTATATAAAGGACATGCTCTCCACTAGAATTAAACCGAAGCACGGGGGTGAAAAATCTTAGGTCACATTATTAACGTGATTTGATCAATAATTTTGCATAATATATTTTGACAGAGAAAAACAATTGGAACACGAATTAATGTAATCCTACATCAATGAGATTTGATAGTTACAAAATCAAATAATACAGGCGGCGTGACACTTTTCCTTCAGATTAGATTTCACAAACCAAACCCTCTTGTCGTAGTTGATGCAGGCACGAAAAAAGATCTCATTTGCTCTGTAGCCTTAAATGCCGAGTACATTTACAAATTTGCAACCTTCCACCGACAATTGGTGACGTCTTAACATGAGTGAAACACTAAAGAAAACACCCTTGTGTAAATTGTATGCTTGATATTTCGATATTTCGAATTTATAAAGAATTTCTTGAGAAAGTCATTTTAAAAAAAATTAACATACATAAACAACATTTTAACTTCAATCACCCGGTCTAAAATATGCAGAATTACGCAAAAACAAACTATTCCACACAATGTATATAGTTTCCAACCTTCTAAATAATTTTGGCAGTAATTGAATTTAAGATATTGATGACTGCATGTTCAAGAAAGTGCATTACTTACATGTATTCCTATGACTGTTATCTTGTTTTATAGACCCTGGATAATCCTTCTTGTTCCATAAGTGTTTATCCTTGTGTTACCTACGGTTTACAACAAACAATACAGTCATGCGACTGTCGACTTTGTGAGTTAATTTCCTTTATTTTGTTTATAATAAATAAAAATCATATTTCAGTATGTCTAGCAAAAGTAAAAGATTATTTATGTAATAGAAGGATAATGGAAGAATTGTTGATATATTACTAAACATTTATACCATCGTTCTGGACTTTTCTGAAAGTAATCCATACTCTCAATCCATGCGTCTACTCTGCTCTGTTTTTTGCCAAACATAACATGAACCTTTCAGTTGTTGTAAATGAGCATTTATTAGTATGCCAAACAAAATTCACCAAATAAGGACAAAAATTAGAAATGACCATATTTAAACATATTCCTAATAATGATTTAACATATATAATGAAGACCTAAAAATATGACTATAAAAAATTTTGGCAAAAAAGATGGGACAAACCTTTAAAAAATGCCACAAACTTGTCTATAACAAGTTATAGACAAGTGCCCCATCCAGAGGAGACGAGTGGGAAGCATATAAACACCACAAGTGGTTACCACTGCATAATTTATCAGGTAAAAAATTATGAGAAAAGAATATTGTGACATCTAATCTACAGCAAAGGGGCAAAACTACACATAAATTGTTCTACGGTACAAAACAACTAAAGAATTTACTACATTACAAAAAATAAAAAGTTTTTACAACTGAACATATCTGCAACAGGGGTCGTACTGATGTAAAGAATTATGCATACATAAAGACTTGAGTAAAAACTATATGTACAAGCTAGTTATTCTATCATACCTAACGAATATATACTTATATATATATATAAAATTATTTGAAGCCAATGTCACCATACCAAATCTAAATTACTATTATTTACTCAATTTTTTTTCATTCATGGGAATAATTTGTTTCTTTAAAAGGGTATGCACCTAGAGGATGAAGTTTGCTGCAAAAAGAAGAAAAGCTAAATGTAATACTAGTGTCCATTTATTTATATATATATATATATATATATATATATATATATATATATATATATATATATATATATATATATATATATATATAAAAGTAATGTTGCAAGTGCACATTGAGTGAAATTTGTCGACAATTTGAAATCTGTAATTGAAACACTTTAAATCTCTGCCATTTCAAGTCTTTCTGTTTCAACATACAATAGTCCATTTGGATGTCTTTACTTGTAGTTTTCATAATTATGTATTCTTTATTAAAAAGAAATAAATTCCCAAGTTTGTTGACAAGTACCGAGTGACATACATAAAGAATATGAAAATGAACTTATTCCTTTTTGAGCTTTAGACTTGAAGCTTTACAAAGAGACGTTCAAGATTGGAAATATGTAGCTTACTTCAGTTCCATCTATTACAGTTAAAAAAAATGATGATAAATAATAAAATGGATATATGGGTAAAATTCGATACAGAAGTCTGAGAAAAAACTGGATTGAAAATCTAGTTCTAATTAAGTTGGTTTTTAGTCACCTAGGCTATTTTCCTACGAAAGAGTGTTATGGTCTAGAGGAAAAATAATTTCAATTTCCGAATTGTTTGAAGTTATCATATATATAAATAATTATAAGAGATGGTAATCAGATTGATTTTTGTAACCTGTTAGTCGTATTTTTTTCTCGATCGAGTAACCGGTTAAATGAACAAATACGACTTGTTTGTGATTTCTTATGAATTATAGGATTTTAGTTATATATTGATACAAAACAAATTATGAAAAAATATTTGTACTTTGAAAACCAGAATACTGCACTTTTTGATCAAAGTAAAAAAAAATGGTATGAACATGAACGTTTATTAATATTCTCTCCATTGTATTTGTAATTTTAATTTATAACAAAAATTTTCTTATCGAATTGAATGAAATATTATCGTTTTACTAACAGCGTGACAGCTTGCTTGATGGGGCGTGCTAAAATTTTGTGTGCTGATTATCACTTTACTCATCGATTGGATGTTTGATTTCAATGGAATCAATACTATTTTGCATATGAAACACAGAACCCAGCAATACCACTGAGAATACTAACCAATCGTATTGCATGATTGTTCACGAGTATGCAGTAAACAACAATTACATGTGGACAGACAAAGCAAGTTTTACTTCCTATAATGATGATATTGATAGCTATATAGTACAACAGTAGCAGAGTAGCCTTACTTATTCCATTTTTTATCTTAAATACGTATTTAAAATTCTATCCTGTCAAATCACAACAAATATGACTTAGTCATGCTTTTTGGAGGACAGAAAATAGGCTTTGACTGATCACGTGTTGCTGCTGACTACAAATGCCTTTCTGATTAACAATAATTCAATGTGATTGGCCAGTATTATCATGGTATTGTTATATTCTGGGTTTTATATGCAAATTAGTATTGATTTCATTGAAATCAAACGTCCAATCGATGAGTAAAATGATAACCAGCACGCAAACTTTTAGCAACTTTTAAACTGTCACGCTGTTAGCAAAACGATAATACATGTACTAGAAAACAAATACAAATGCATGCATTATATGAAATCCCGCACAAGCGCGGGGAATTGAGAATTTTTACCAGTAACTCTGAGAAGAATTCCAAGAATATAAATTATAATTTCTACTGACTTTATTTTATTTTTTTTTTATTTTTTTTCGTGCATAATTTTTGTATTATTATTATTTTATTTTTTCAACACAATTCATTATATACAAAATGTCCAATATCTTTTCTTTAACAGAATTGTCTGAATTACGAGAGAGAGAGAGAGAGAGAGAGAGAGAGAGAGAGAGAGAGAGAGAGAGTTACAAAAATAGTTGATTCCACCTGTTCCACTGAGTGTCAAATTTCTCTTTTTCACCATTTTTATATGATAAATATTTTTGTGTTTGGTAAAAATAACTCGTGTGATATCGCAGAGTGCACATTTAGAGGTTTTTCAGTGCATCTAGAAGTATAAATATAATATTTCAACCATAAGATTAAGATATTAGCTATTTCATTATTTCTTCCTCCAATACCTAAAAGGATGATTTTTTTGTTATGGACAAATGGAGGTTTTTCTGCTGGAGATAATATTCAAAGTTTTCAAGGAGTGATTGTACAAGATCACATTCCCATAGGATATGTTCAATCGTCTCTTCTTCTTTTTGACAAAAAATACACTGCATGCTTTGAAACAACCTTTTTTATTTTGAATAAAAAAGAATTTGTTGTCAATATTTTATTTAAAATTCTGTACTGAAACCACTGGAGTTTACAGTTTTTGGTAACTTGAAATGGTAATTTATGAATTATTTTGCTTTCCTTGATATCCAGATCAAATAATTCAATCCACGTTTTGTAACTGTTTCTACTGACGGTTAATTACAGGCTTATAGTAGGAAGAAATACTTTAATCTTTCAAAATCCCGCAGTTAGTTTTGGAGCAGAAGTAAATGTACGCCCCCCCCCCCCTTTGTAAAAACTTGAAAAATAATTTCATTAATTGACGTTTATTTTTGATACCTATTATACTATGTTATAGATATTGTACTTTAGGTGCTCTTATTCCATCAACGATAAAAGAAGCGAATATGCATATTTTACTGATAAATTGTCAGCGCATTTTTTGTAAAAATTCGCTTTTAACGCCCTATGTATATGCCTAGATTATATTAATATTGCTACAGAAGACTGGATTCAGAAAAAAACCCACTGAAATGTATTGATTAAAGCACAGATTTTAAAAAGATTTAGTTATATTTGAACAATACCATATTCGTTAATTGACATTTTCTCCTTACTTGTACATATATTTACAACTTTAGTGTTATAAATTGCAATTACAACCATTCCCCGCGATAAATTAGAGGCTTTTTGACATCATTGACAGCTGCTTTTTTCAATAACAAGAGGCCCAAGTGCCTTAACGGTCACCTGGGTATATTACAACAATTTAGAAGATCCATAGAGCATAAAATAAACTGATAGATGAAGCTTTGTTGCCCAAAAGCAATGAAATAGCAACGAAATAATTAGTCTAGCATTCAGTAACAACTCATAAAGTAAGTTCTAATCTGTCTCCCATTTATCATCATTACCATGCAAATTATTAACAAAATATTAGTGCATCAGTTCTATTTTTAACCCCATATTATCACCTCTGACATTGGCCTCTTGGTCTTTGAAGAACATTTTATAAGATAAGTTATTTTTGTCTCATTTTTATTCATCTATTATTTACAGGTCTACCCGACCATTAAAACTATGAAAGTACTTTTTGTATTATACAATTAAATTCTTGCATAATATTCTTATTCTATTAACCTTTCAAATACATTATCTACAGTGATTTATTATCAAAGGTGAATGGCAAAGGGGAATAACTTCTCTCTGTAGAATACAAATATTAAAAGAATAGGCCCAGGACAAGAACACTTGACCAAATGGTCCAGATGTTCAAATATCTGGTAAAAATACCCTTGCTTATTACTTTTACTCTTCTTCCGATATGCCCAGAAGGAGAGACTATTTTCAAAGAAATAATGCATTTTCACTACAGATTCAACACAGCCCTACCCTAACACCAGAACCCATGACCCAGGTACCCTTGATAGCCACCCCACTCGAGAAACACTAGATCCCCTGACCCTGGGACCACAAGTTTTAAAAATTTTGTAAGAAGCACCCTTGCTAATCATAACTATGCACTGTGTTTATCTGCTGAATAATAAGGAGCAGACAGGATTATTTAATAAAATTAATGCATTTTCACTATATTATCAATGGAGTCCCAAGCTTACTCCAGAACATCTGACCCAGGGGTCATGAAAATCACAATTCTGGAAGAAGCACTCTTGCTCATGATAACTATTCACTTAGTTTTTTGCTTTATATCCAGAAATAGAAAGAATATTTTCAAGAAATTATGCTTTTTAACTATATAATCAATTATAGCCTCCCCCCTTCCATCAGAACCCTGGAACCTGGGGCCATGAATTTCATAATTTTGGAAGAAGCATCCTTGCTTATCATAACAATGCACTTAGTTTGTTTAAATGATACCCAGGAGCAGAGAAGATTATCAAAGAATTTATATATTTTGACTATATAACCAATAGAGCCCTGCCCTAACATCAGAACCCCTGACCAAGGGGCCATAAAATTAACAATTTAGGAAGAGGCATACTAGTACTTGCTCATCATTACTTTCTACTTAGTTTGTTTGTTAAATAAATGGGAGCAGAGAAGAAGATTTTCAAAAAAAATAATGCATTTTCACTGTATGATCTATGTAGCCCCAACCTAGAACCAGAATCCCTGACCCTGGGGCCATGATATTCACAATTTTGCTAGAGGACCTAATGCTTATGACAATCATGCCAACAGTTTGACTGCTTGATGTCCAGGAGTAAAGAAGAATTAAAAAAAATGCATTAATTTTGGTAGTTTTAGCTCCACCCCTCAGGCCCCAGGGGGACAGAGACCATGAAATTCACAACCTTTGTTTCCCTTCTCCCATAGATACTAAAATTGTTTGAAATTGGTTCAGAGGTTTTAGAGCAGAAGCTGAAAATGTTCAATGACATTGTCAGCAAATACAATCTATCATTAAGTCATATGCTGACTGACGTTTTCCATACTAATTGTTAGGCCATTATTTACACACTGAATTGTCGAAGGATTTTTCCGTTATTTCCCGATCATGATAAGGAGCACACGGCTGGCGTCGGCAGGGAATGTTCACTTCTCCATGGCACCTGATCCCACCTCTGATATTTTTGGAGGACCGTGTTTGCTCTGCTCCCAATTTGTATTGTTTTAATGAACTTTGTTCTTGATTGCATTCTGACAAAGTGTCAAGGTCTTCTTTTTAATATTTAGCCCGTCGTCTGGCCTAATCTTCTGGTGAATTCATTATATTTATGAAACTATGACGCCAGTTGAAAGACCGAGATTCCCTAAACTTTGGTCCTCTTATAATAATTGATGTA